AATTAATCATATTTTAATTGTGATCATGATTTATGCTTCTCTCGATTTATTAAGCATAATCGTCTGCAATATTTGGCCACTGGTTATTTAACCTGAAAACATTTAAGTTTAATTTGGCATTTGTGTTGTCTTGCATTGGTAACAAGCCTCCATAAGCTTTAATGATTTTGATTGTTAAATGTCAAGTTTAAATCCCTCAATCAGAGCTTTTCTTTTAAATGGATACATTTTAAGCCCAGTGATTTAATAACTCTTCCCAAACTGCCAAATATGCTCACGTGGTCTCTCTGCATTGCAGAAAAAACACTAATGAGCTGAAAACACCAGCAAACATGTAAGATGGAGTTTAGCAATCTCCATTGAGATATTCTTTTATTGTTGTTGTTGTTGTTGTTGTTGTTGTTTTTGGCAAAACAATTGTGATTGACCATTTAACCATTATCGTGCAGACCTAGAGTGTGTGAACAGACACTTATATGCGCACTACAAAATTTCATGCCTGTCCAGTTTTTGTGCTATTCCTCTCATGGGCGTCTATTGTTGTTGCCATCTGCAGTAGTTTGTTGTTGTTCTGTCTCTATATTTAACACTGTGAAACGGGTCTGGACAGTGAATGAATGAATGAATGAAAACAAATGTATGCCGTTAAAAAAATTCTGATTGTGTGCGTCACATGCACTATACACATACAGTACCCTAGAATACACATTAACCAAAGTATACTTTGGGCTAACTACTTAATGACCCTGTTGACACTTGGAAAACTTCCAACATGATTGAAATGTTCTCTGGCTGATGTTGGTGGACTCCTGTGGCTTTTGGAGTGACCTATTCTTCTCATACTCTAGAACGGTTAAGGAATTGAACTGTTGGCATCTTATACAACATCTTCCATAAGCAGTGTTGGGGAGTAACTAGTTACATGTAACGGCGTTACGTAATTTAATTACAAAATAAATGTAACTGTAATCAGTTACAGTTACTAAGAAAAACTGTGTAATTAAATTACAGTTACTTATGAAAATGTGAACGATTACAAAGGGGATTACATTTGAATATTTACACACATCCACATACAGATTTAATTGATTTATTTCCCAAATTGCACTGACTACTCTGTAACCTATTACATTTCCAAAGTAACCTTCCCAACACTGTCCATAAGGAAACGCAAAGGCACCTTTAAAAAAAAATTCAAAGCAATACTAACCTTACTGTGGCAGCTTTTGGTTCTCCCAGCAGCAAACTTTTCTCACCAAAATACTGCCCAGCTTTTAGTTTGAAAAGAACTGCTGTATTATCCTTTGATAAAACCTCCACTTCTCCCTTGTGGATGAAATACATCTAGGAAAACAAAGCATAATTTTTAAACATAATTAGGGTTCAAATTGAAGAAAGGATGTCAAAAGATGATTTGGGGGATGGGAGGCTTTACTTGTAAATGTATATATCTATAGCTCTGACTAATACTAAATTGCAATGCATACCCAACATTATGCAAGAACATTATGTAAGTGTATCTATAAATTGCACCCTGAACATAAACATTAACATGCTGTTACTCTTTCAGGCTTATATAGCCATTCAAAATTTTCAAAAATCAGATGCACAGTATGTTTCCAATGTTCTTGTAATAATAACCTCTGATCCATAGTCATTTTTCTTATATATGAGATCATTGGCTCTGAACAGGGATTGGGAAATTCTTCTGGCTAATAAGCGAATGAAGCATCCATCAGTTTCTAACTCCTCCAGACACTCCTTTGTTAACATCGTCTCAAAAAATGGTCCCTGCAAACAACACCTTGTAAATCTGAGAGTGACGGATAATTATTTTCAGCTCATTAAAATAATTTCAACATGTATTTAATTCCAAAAAAAAAAAAAAGGAAAAATAGCAACACAAGCACTGTCTACTGCACAAGATCAAGCAAATTAAGTTGTCATTCAAGTTATTACACTGAGTTTCCCTGCTTTGGTTATTGCCGCAGGAGACAAAGGACGTGTCTCAGATTCGAGTGTTTTCTTGATCTGGATATTAAGACCAAACACCTAGGAAAAGAGATGATAAGTTTACATAATTAAAGTGCCATTCTATAGTAATCTTTACATTAATAATAGTACATTTTACCTTTGCTATAAAATCAGCATAAAGAACTGTTGATATATCACCGACTAATGAAGATGGCAAATACTCAGTCAGTTTATCCTGGTCAAATCCTTTTGTGAGTTTCCATCGAAATACGTAAAATCTAACTACACTGTCATATAAAGCCCCAGTTATTTTGTGGCTCTTACAAAAAAAAGAGAGAAAATAAATATTAGTTAATACAATACATACAATATACAGAAACATTCCAATCATTCCAACGTAAATACATTATTTTGAAGAATTTCATTTTCCTATGATGCATTACATGATCAAAGGTTAGTGCAAAGAAATTTATAATGTTACAAATAACTATTTCCATTTCAAGTTAATGTTGTATTCAGACTCTCGGTTCTTAAAAGAATGCTGTGCAGCACTGACAGCATTTGCAATCTAGCAGTCAGATATTCAGTTTCATCTCAGGCTTTTTTTGCCCAGTAGTATCCAACTGCAGTCCTGCAGCGCCACATGTTTCAGGACACACGAGCCAGGCCACCCATCTAAAGGCCTGTTCACGCCAAGGATGATAACTATAAAGATAACGATAAAGATATAGATTTAAAATCATTCTTAATATTAAAGAATAGCAAAGCCCACACCACAGCTAAAGGCACAGAGAAACGATATCCTTGGAATCACTTTCAGAACTTTTTTTTCTCAGCTGATGAACGATAAAAACACTGACACCCGATCAGAATCAATACTGCTATAATGTGAGCTTAGAATAAACAGATGATATCGTCTGCTGATGTGGAAGCTAATATAGTTGTCTTTATAGTTATTGTTCTTGGTGTGAATGGGCCTTAAACCTGGAAGTGAGGGGCAGAGTTATTAAAACATAACAACATGGCCACTTTATGTTTTAAATGTATTTATTATATACTGTATTTAATGCTTTGTTCTAATTCTATTACATTTATTGTTTGTGGGTTTATGTTACGGTACTCCAGAGCACTTTATGTTTGTTATTGACTTTGTCAAAGTTGAGATAATGTGTGTTATGCATTTTTAATTTCAGCTCTTGTAGGAACACACTACAAAATCTCATCGAAAATGTGCAAGATTCCAGAGACCCTTTTACATTTTAATTTTTATTCGGGGAACAGACTTTTTTGATCAAATGCAATGAAAAAAGGGGACTAAAAGTAAACTCTTCTTTTAATGTGTGATAATTATAATAATTTCAAAAGTTGATAATTATTTGCTGTTTATTATTTCTAGTACAGTTTAGTTTTAAGTCATAATTTTAGTGATATTTTTTGTTGTTGAAATTTCTTTTTATTTAAGAAGTAGGTTACAGGTTTTTTAATATTTTGAATTTCAAAATAAAAAGTATACTTGACATTCAATGTCCATGCTCTGTCTTTAAAGGGATAGATCACCCAAAAATGAAAATGCGTCAGCATGCATTTTACCTGGTCCTTGCTACGTTTCTGGACCTGGGAACATTGCAGTTGTGTTGCTGTCTATGCAGGGTCTGAGAGCTCTCGGATTTCATAAAAATATCTCAATTTGTGTTCCGAAGATGAATAAAGGTCTTACAGGTTTGGAACGACATGAGGGTGAGTAGTAATTACTGACAGAAATTTTCATTTTTGGGTGAACTAACCCTTTAACTATTTGTTACAAAATTAACATTAAAGGGGTCATATGATGCGATTTCAATTTTTCCTTTCTCACTCGCGCGAATAATTACATTCGCGTCTGGTGTGAACACACCATAAGAGTCAACCACGCCTACCTAAAACGGCTCGTTCTAACATGCCCCCACATGTCTACATCATATGACCCCTTTACCTAAATATTATCTCGTAATAGCCTACAGTCAAATGGAATTCAGTATGCTACATGATGCTACATTTATTAACTACCTAAATCTAAATGATCTATCAATGATCTAAATGAGTATCAATAAATAATTTCAAAATCCATGTGAGAATTGCTTGTATTACATCTATCAAAAGAAAGTTACACTACAAAACTGGAAGTGGTGTGACTCTAATAAGACCAAATCTGTCCTAAACCATATGGTTCGCCTCACTTCCAGTTTGAGACAGGTGGCCTGGTGTGTGTGTGTCCTGAAACATGTGGCGCTGTGGGGCTGCAGCTGGATGTATCTCCCTTTTGCAGGATTTGTCCATTTATTGATAAAACTCTTTTCTGAAGGCCAGTTGCATTTTTTAGTATTCTCTTCACTATTAAAGAGACTTTGTACTCCCCATCTTGATGTGGCACTTCTGGAGTGCCCAGTTCTCTCCCTGTCCATTAACAACCAAAATAATAGTTGTAATAGTTTAATAGTTTCTGAAAATTAGGCTTTGCCATTAAAAAAACTATTTCAAACAGTACTAATTTACAATATTACTGTTTTTGATTGTGGAAATTAATCAAATGATACACTGGTTATCAGTAAGATGAAACAGATTCTGTATGAAAATAAATACCTTCAAGAATAGTTTCATGCTCTCAGTTTTCTCTGTATAAGCAGCTCTCATAGCATCTGTGTTTGCCAGCATAGCAGTAACAGTGCCTGATAACCAGCCAGTAAACAGCATCGCAGCAATCATAATGAAACTCATGCCAGCTTTCTAAAAATGTGGTTTATGCACGAAGAAAAGTCAGTGGCTGGAGATGCATAAAGCAAGCAGGGAGTCTCTATACATGCATAGCACATAGAACCATTGTGTGATTTATGGAAAAATAGGCTTTGTTTTGTCAGTTAAAAAGAAAAGGCATAAAACCTAAACTGTAAAGTAGAAAACTGCAAAACATATTGTCAAAAACATGCTATGCCCTATTTCATCTCAAATCAAAGGAAAAATAGAAAAGGTATGAATTATTTTCATGACAATTAACCATCCCCATTCTAATGACCATAAAGTAAAAAGCTTAGACATTTTTAGTTAAATTCATCCAAAATTTTCCTGATTTAATACTTACCATTGCAGTTAGAGATGGATAGATGTCCCCAAATCCAACAACACATACTGTTGTGGTTACAAAGTACAAGCTCATTAAATACAACTCCTGGAAATGAACAGTGCCTGAAGAACAAAAATCATCTGTTATTTTATTTTTATTTTTTAAAAATATACAGATTTATTTTTAATCTTTTAGCTATATGAAAAAGAATAAAACATATTCAATGGTCAAAGCTCTGAAGAACAATACGTACCAAAATCGACATCAAATGATTTGTCCAAGTGTCTCACCCAGGACAATAATGTACAATTGTGCTTTGTCACTGGTAAGAAATAGTCACTTATGTTTCCATAAAGGTCTGCAGCAGGGCATGAGCTTGCAAAGGCAATACAAGTGGTGAAGTGCACGAAAAGAGCAGAATATACCAACAACTTCAAAACAGTAATGGCGTTCCTTTCAGCAGTAATGTCAACTTGCAAGAATGAAAATGCAAAGGGAATGCGATATAACTGGAAAATATGTGGAATCCTAAAGTATGCATAAAGATGCAATGCTTCATTATTGGCATAAAATCCATTCTCACCAAATGGTGAAATCACAATCCAACCCACAAGTTCCCAAGGAAAGCAGGTTATGAAATCTACAAGGAACCCGGTTTTGACATAATGATGTGCTGTTTCCAAGGTGTCAACTTTGAGATCATTGTCTTCATAGAAAGCAACATGCATGCGGATATAAATGTCCACCCAACAACACAATCCAAGTATGTAACAAACAATCCACAGCTCCATTCTGACGTGTAAAAATGCAATAAGCAATGAGGTAATGATGCTGACAGCGATTGCTAACATGCTCCTGAAAAATTCCCATCTTACATAAAATGCACTGCTGGGCAAAATGGCTTTCCTGCAAAAGTATAAGAAGAAACAAATCATATTTCTCAATAGTTAAGTACTTGGATACTTACAATATTAGGGTGCTCAATTCATTTACAATTCAATATGCTAAAGCTTCCAATTTAGTGGAACAAGCACATTTTATGATGTGAGGTACTGACATCTTTAACATTATCAGTAGTATTAAAACACCACAGTAACACTGCATTTACCTCATTAGGAAAGGTGATGGGCATGACCACAAGAAGAAATATGCAAAGTGTCCCATTAAAGTCCTATGGAATCAAAAACAATAATGTACACTTAATTAATTCACCCACATTATTTATTCACTCTCATTAAAACATTTTCATTTTTGTATGAACTATTGCTTTAGTTTATCAGTTTAATGCAAAAAAAAGTGCAGATTGGTTTTTATGGAGAGCTTGGTTAACCCGGCCAATAAGAGACCATTAACTACAATTCTTCCTTTTTATTATACAGATGTTTTATTAAAACACTGACCCAATATCAGGTAAAAACTATAGAGACAGATTCACGGGTTCTCAGAGATCACCCCCTAGCAGAGGAAGTTTTGAAACAGAATTTTTTTGAAACAGTTATGACGTAACGAAACCTCGTTTCACTTGGCAGTTTGATACATGCTCCGAATCACTGGTTCTAAACAAAGGATTTGCAAAGGTTTCAAAGCTTAATGAAGCAGTGCTTTTAATAGTGCCCATCACTAGCTGAAAGTGTGAGATCAGAGTAATGCTATTATTGAGAACAGATTTTAAGAACCATTCTGTTGTAAAAAGATACTACTATTTGTGGAAACCAGTGAGGAGGTGGGTGCCATTTTGTTTGGAAGAACAACATTTTCTCTTTCACTTCGCAAGGAATTAAGGGAAGTTTTTTTTTTTTTTTTTTGATGTGTGTGTAGTTAAATTATGTTTATAAAATGTATTTCTTTTTTTAGTCCTTTGTTTATTATTTTGGCCCGACTCCCACCATAATTATTTTGTGTTTCCGTTATTTTCTCTTATCAATGAACCTGACTTTGATTAATTTCAAATGAAAGTGTTGTTCCTAGTGCTGGGGCTGGAGATGAGATGTTTCTTGTGCATTCTTTCCACTTTTTGTTACCTCTGTCCTCTAGACAAGAGGATTAGATCATAGCAAGTCAAAGAGTGTAATTTAATAAATAAGGCATATGATTAGGAGCGAATGTGCATATTTTAAAATAAAAATATTACCTGCAAATACTTCAAGTACATTATTGTACAATAAATTCTAATTCTTTTACTATATTACTTTCTTTTTCCTTCTTCCATATAAATACCTTTATTATTTATACCATTAAATTACATACACAGGAATTGGACAAATATGGGAACACCCATTACTTTAGGGGTCAATCATTTTTGTAGGATACAGTGAAAAAACCTTGCAATTACCTTTTATTTATCTTTTTGTTCTCTATATTCCATAAGTTGTATATCAGTGTGATGTAAGTTTTGTTCAGCAGTGTTTAGTATGTGAAATTGGTAACTTGTCAGACATGCAAAAGGGGCAAAGAAATATTGCCTATTTCCCAGGTGTTCACATTATTTTGTCAAACCCCTGTACATGTTTAAATTTTCACATCATCAAAATAATGTTCTGCTTACTTTGGTCTCTGTCGTTTCATTCGTCCCAGTGGAACAGTTTCTTCCTCAGCTCCAGCATACATTGGAATGTTTCCAAAGTCCTCCACATCTAGAAAGATATTTGTATATATTTTATCAGTTGCTAAAAAAGCTAGGGCTTCTATTTTGGCACAATCCTTAAAGCACTTTTACTCCAGAACCAGAATGGACATTCATCAGGGCAGGGGGGTGACCCCCCCTTTATTATTCATTTTTAAATAATGCCAGGATAATATACCAAAATACTAAATCTGGCTGATATTTATTTGTTTTAAACTAAAGTGCATGAAATTATAAAATCAAAGATTAACGTACAGGCTTCTCAGGCCAGTTGCAGTGCTAACGCTTTGTTTTAGTCATCATTTTTGTCCTGAAGAAAATATCCTTCAGTCAAACTTTCTTCATGTCAAATTCCTTAATTTTACTCAGTTTAAGTCTGAAGTGGCATCTACTTTTAGTCACAGCTTTAAAATTGCACCGGACAATGGGGGCCTTTAAAGTGTCATGAAACCCTAAAACATATTTTTAAGATGTTAATATATATGAACAGGTTGCACACCAGTCAAAATAACAATAGCACTCATTATGTCTATCATTAAGGTAAAAGTGGTTATTTTTTTGAGCAATTTCGTTCTTCCGGTTCAAAAAGCAAGTGGTGATTGTCTGCCGTGGCTGGAGAGTACGCGTCTACGTCATCAGTTTCCGACCTTTTCTGAGTATTATTCATGAGAATGAAGTCTTACGATCCAATCACTGCACTGTATTATGCAAGAGGTTGTATTACAGTGGAGAATTCAAATCTCATGAAAGAGCTTCCGCGCTGTCAGTTCATTTCTGTAAAAATTACCGTAACAATATTTAATATGACAACATGTGGAGCGTCTGATCATGAACGCGATGACACAACGGATTATTGCACACAGCAAACGATTCAGACCAAGAATTCAAAGAAGAGTAAACAAAAATTAACTGCCTTTATTCTTTCTGTTTTAAAGGTATTTTAATATTAATTTGTCTGTATAATGAGTGTGTTGTAGGTCTGTGTTTTATTGGTTGTTGTCTCTTCTCTTCCCACCCTCTACACTCCCACTTTTCCACAGTTTTACGCGCCCATTTCTATCTGGAGTCTTTTTCAGATCTAAGGTGTGAAAGACCAGTGCTGAAACAGGGGTGTTTCATGACACTTTAAGTCAAAAAGGCTGAGAACCTTTATATCTTGTAAAAACCTTGTTATTTCTTTTAGTTAATTATGTAATTTATCAGTCATTATACGGTCTAATTAATATCAGGCAGATTTTCTTTCAATGCTTACCAAATATATTTCAGCAAATTAATATATGCTATGCATTTTTACTGTATTTTTAAACCTTGTTCCCATAGTTACTTAGTTTCACTGATTCATAATGATAGGTAAGTGTTGAGAATATACATTATATAATGTATGTTTCTCAAAATACTCACAGCATTTTGTCTTCTTGGAAAATCTACGTCCTTGAAATGCCAATGTGAATTTTTGTCTCTGTGCAACATCAGATTCTTTGATATGGGATTGCCTTTTCAGTATTTTCTCTGCAGTCTCCACCAATGTCGTGTAGCATTTTGGCTCTGATCGGAATTCTTCAATTTGCCTAAAAAAATTACAGTTTCCTGATAAAATGTTCTTTATCATTAAAGAGATTTTACTTTAACATGTAATTTGTTTCTTAGTTTGTAAAACATACCTTTTAAGCAGGGGATATTTCTCAAGAAGTACTCTGATCTTGTCAAAATCAATGACTACAATTTCACAGCATGTCACAGCACGTACTGTCAATGTGGCTTGTTTTCCAAACAAAAAACCTGCCTACAGGAAAAAAAAAACAAATAAAAGATTATTCATTTAAAAGATGTACACAAAACTATAGTATCTGGCACTACAGAAACTCCACTTTGCGGTATACTGTTATTAACAAAAACACTGAAATTAAAAACATGAAATATTTATGTTGTGTAGGAAAGATTGTGGGTATTTGGACAGGCCCTGAAAATCTGAACAAGGTGTAACAACTATTTGTATGTTGCGGAACACACCTCAAAGTGCAGGGCCTAAGTGCCATTTGCCAATAAACTGACATGATTTTATCCAGGTTTCAGAGTTCCTATAGCATCAGCCACTGATGCAGTGTCAAAGTGATTGATATAAAAGGGAACAATGTATTTAATTGTTACCTCTCCAAAATGCATTCCCTTCTGATAATGTCCAACAACTTCTGAAAGATTATCATTCAAAATCTATAAAATATTCAGTAAATAAATAAATAAAATACAATTCTCAATGATTAAACAACAACGATTAAAATAATCAAGTTATAGGCTATAACTTATTTTGAGGTCTGCACTGAACTGCTTAATTTATGCTTTAATTTTAAAGGGGTGGTTCATTGCGATTTCACTTTTTTAACGTTAGTTGGTGTCTAATGTTGCTGTTTGAGCATAAACAATATCTGCAAAGTTACGAAGCTGAAAGTTCAATGCAAACGCAGATATCGTCTTTTAAAATTCTGGCAGTTTAATGCCTACAAAAACGGCTGGTAGGGACTACAACAAGTTACTTCCCAGATAAACCCCGCCCTCGGGAAAAGGCAACAAAGGGGGCGAGGCCATGCTGCGCTGCTTTAGAGAAGAGGAAGAGAAAACTAGAGGTGCACGTAAAAATCTATTCATATATGAATCGCGATTCTGTCTTCTAACGATTCTAATGGATTCACAAGTTTCAAAATCAATGTTCTAAAGCAGCGGTTCTCAATACTGTTCCTCGTGTTTCCTTGCTCTGCACACGCTCTGCATCTCTTTCTCTCTCTCTCTCTCTCTCATTCAGCTCAGCTCCAACAATGAACTGTTCCAATTATACACTTATTTTCACATAGCTATAAGAACCATTAAACATGGGCGCACATGCGGTTGCTGTACTGTATTAAAGCTTTAATCAGGATAAATCCATATATTAAAAGCTAACATAAGCAGTAGCATTTACAACAGCGTCCATATCTAAAGCCCATCGCCTATTTCTGAGGGAGGGGCTTCATAAAAGCAGGGAATGATCAGCGTATTTCTCAGAGAAGGGACAGAGCGGTGTGGAATAAAGGTAAATTATGTGAAAAATAATGTTTTTTTTTTTTTAAACGAAGCATTAACGCATGTTAGACTGCACCCCATAAACACTATCAAGCCTAGAAAAAACCACCTAGTGAACCACCCCTTTAAAAGTGCATACAACTGAGATGAAATGTTTGTAAAGAAATAAACTTTATGAAAAATGCTGACCTCACACGTTCCCCTGCGAATACAAAAGAGCTCTCTTGTGATAGTTTTACTGTACTGAATAATTTCCCCTTTAGGAAAAAAGTACATGACTGAAGTTAAAGCAAGGTCACGTATGAATGACTGTCCAGCTTCTGCAAAGTAAGGAATCTGTAAAGAGGGAAACAATGGAACAGTTTAGTTTATTTTGAACCAGCCCTCATAATATTCTTTGGCAAATGTGTAAAATGATTCTTACCCCCCAACTTTCCAGACCAGTAGTTTAAGGCTGTTTCGTTATGGGCCAAAATTAACAAAATAGGGCAAATGCCTTTTTTTTTTGCCAGCCACACTGTGTCTTTAGTAAATACTGACAGTAGTTTTTTAACACCAAAAAGGGTTTTTACTGGCCTAAATCTGGCCCTATGTCTTTAAACTAGATTATGATCAGTATTATAATTTAAATGCCAATTTCACACAAATTCCTTTACGCAGACTCCTCCCAAGGAGTGTCAACCCCAATGTCTGAATAGAATTTTATGCATTAACCTTTAGACTAAGCCCCACCAGGTTTTGTGAATGTGCATATAACGCTGCTGGTTCAGATTTTCATGAACCAGTGAAATGGTTTTCTTATCCTTTCTCCTAAGGATTCAGGAGATCATTTATCACATGATTTGACCCTGCTCTTCTCATTCTCCCCCATGGAAGCCTTTGCGACTCAAGGAAGCACATTTAGAAGCATTTATGAACAACATGTTAGGTGGGGCTTAAGAGACATCTACCAACATATTGATGTGGACCTATTTGGGTCTCAGAGGTCATCACTGCTGGATGCAATTCCTACAGCATCAGTTGCTGACACAGCATGGTCCCTTATTCAGGTAACTCAAACAATGTTTGTTTTTTTAACCCACAGACATTTAGTGGTTTAAGACATACAAATAGGTTACTTTTTTAAATAAAATTTAAAAACACTGACCTGTGACAGAAGTTCCCCTCTCTCTGCCATGAGGACATTCTGTTTCAGTTCAACTGGCAAATCGTGCATTAAAAAATGTCCTCCTGGAAAAGCTTCACCTCTGATATAATGAAAACAAAAAGATCAACAAATAAGGCTAATCAGTGTTGTTGCTTTTTTCCAGAGTCATTGGACACATTTCAAATTTGCACCAGCTCAGCAACTGCCATTGAGAGCGATTGGAATGCTAAAAGATAACCATAATTCTAACCTCCTTGGCTATAACCAATGCTGCACAGATTTACAAATATTGCAGGGGAAAAGGCAAAATAAGTTAAATCATACTGATATTTGGCCCACAGGAGATCCATATAATTCATGACTCTGTTCTGTAGGAAAACTGTGAGGTCATGTCGCTTCATGAAGTGACGCATTTCTGAAAAAAGATTCTGGAAAGCCACCCTATGCAGAAAAAAAGAGCATCAATATGTGCATAAATTCAACTGAGAATTTAATCAATTTTCACACCACATTTTCTCTGAATTTCAGCATACAGTGGGTACGGAAAGTATTCAGACCCCCTTAAATTTTTCAACCTATCTGTCACAGGACAGACCATAGTCCAATTTCAGTTTTTCAGTAAATTTTAATAAAATATGTAACAACTGTTTTTTGCCTTTGTAGGACAGAATACTTTATTATTCTAAATTTAATATTCTAAAATTCTGATTTACATGGACATCTTTAATCAGCTTAAATTTAGTATCTGCAATCAAAAACATTTACCTCTTAGCATTTTCACCAGATAGAGTGGCAGAAAGCTGGCTAATAATATAGTTAAAAACCAGCAAGGCAACAATACCAACAACTGCTGCCAGACACTGTTCTACCAAAGAGCCAGGTACAATGTCTCCATATCCTGAAAAATAAATGTTGTGTCATAATGCTTAGTCCACTTTTGTATCATCAAAAAGAAGCCTATCCCAATCTCACAGGGATCATACACAGACAATTCACCAATATTGCATGTCTTTTGATTGTGGGGGAAACCGGAGTGCCTGGAGAAAACCTACAAAACATCACTGTCGCAGTTAACATTTTGGTTTCTTTTATAATTTTGTCTGTTTCAATCAGACAATGGCAGGTGGAGATTGAGAAAATGCTGTGCTGAAAACTGCTCAGAGTACTTAGGCCCAATCCCAATTCTATTTTATACCCCCTCACCTACCCCTGCCCTAAGAAATGGGACACCACTACGACACTGTTACACGTCATCATATGTCGTCTAGCTCCTAAAATACACACACCTATACTGGTGTGCATTAGAGCCTTTAATTTCCGTTCTATATTAATTTGACAGCAAAGAGAGGATAAAATCGCAGTTTTTGAAGTAAACTCACTCAAAGAGAGACACACAGAAACGCGTACACGCAACTTTCATCTCTCTCTGATGAGACATAAAAATATGTTGTGGCACTCAGGGCCGTCCTTAGCTGACACTGGGTCCAGTGCAAGGTCAGTTCGCAATCGCATTCCGGGGGGTGGGGGTGGTGGGAATGGGTCCCCCTCGGTCTGTTCGCCGGTGCGACCGCACCAGTTGCACCGCCCAAAGGACCAGGGTTGCCAGGTTTTCACAACAAACTCGCCCAATTGCCACTCAAAACTAGCCCAAAACTAGCCCAATGGCGTTTTGAGGGGGATCCCCCGGTAAAAATCGCGTTCCGGGGCTTAAAATAGACGTTTTTGGTGAGGTTCCCCTGGTAATATTCGCATTGCAGGGGCTAAATATCACATTACAGGGGTCGCTTCAACTCACGGACATGAAAAACAACCCGCAGCAACAGTGTTAATGTAGCCCAATTCCGCGGGAAAACCGCAGACTTGGCAACACTGCAAAGGACAGCCCTGGTGGTACTATCGTGCAGTCAGTTATGATTTATGATTAAAATTTTTTGCAAAAATTTCTTTGAATAACATGACCATAAATATGAACACACGATTGAATGTAACATAAAACAAATGATTACTTTTAGTTCTCATACCCCTTCATTTGAAGTGTGGTCCCAAAAAATGTTAATTTGACCCTTTCTCCTACCTCTACGCCTCCAACCAAAAGAGAATCGAGACACCCCTACCCCTTCATGTCCCACACAGGCATCAAACAAGGGCTGGGAGGGTTCAAACGCCTTCCGCCCCTTAAGAAACTCATGAGGTGCGAGGGGGTGCTTACCCACCAAACATCCCTCTAAGGTGCT